GCCCCGAGCCAGGCAGCCTCGGTGTCTCCTGACACTCCCCGCTCGTCCCCGTCTCCCTGACGCGGAATGAGTGTCTGAAGCGGCCGGGCCCGACCTCGGGCCCCCCTCGGAGCACCGCCATCGCCCCGCACCGCCCCACTCACCCGCTGCGCCTTCTCCCAGATCTGGTTCAGCCTCACCACCCGGAACTCCCCGGTCTCCCGTCGCTTCTCGCCGGGTGCCGCCAGCCCCTCGTTGGCCTCCCGGGAGTACTTGCTAGCCTGGCCGGCGGCAGCCAGGAGCAGCGCGGCAGTGAGGGCCGGCAGCACCCGCACAGCCGCCATGTCGAGCCGGGCGGGGAACTACAACTCCCGAGATGCCGTGCGGGCCCCGCGTACCCTCCCCGGCCGGGAGGGAGGGTCGGTGCTGGGAGAGCGGAGGCCAGGCCGGCCAGGGCTGGAAATGCAGAGGTGGTTTGGGGTGTGGGGAGGGAACTTATGTTTGAGCTGTTTATCTTCGTGCCGTTCTCCTCGGTGCTTGCTTTACAAATTATGCCGAACGTGGCACGTTTTATGCGTAGTTTCCCCCCCAGCAGTCGGTGTTGATGTCAGCTGTGCGAGAACGAGGGGACACAGCGGGTTCGAACACCACTACTTTCATCAAACAAAGTTTACAGATTTTAACAATATCCAAGGTACACAGAAAAGGAAAAGGCAACTCGGGGAGGACGGAAGGCAAGAGTGGGCACCGGTTCCCCCGTGCTCCCTTGGTGGTGGCAGAGAAGAACACTAGGGGGACAGCCCAGAGGGACAGCCCAGAGGGACAGCCCAGAGGGACAGCCCAGAGGGACAGCCCAGAGGGACAGCCCAGAGGGATGGATGGTGGTGTGGGCAGGAGGATGCAGGGACACGGAGGTTGGGTTGTTCTCCAGGGGTGAAGTGTGGGAATGGCTCTGGGCTCGGTGCTATGTGCTCACAGTGCAGCTCTTGGGCCGGGGAGCCAGTCCTGGTGGTGCCAGCCTCCTGCCTCAGTGTGTCCTCCTCAAGGAGCCAGCCAAAGATTTCAATGGTCAACAGGTGGTTTTGGGAGGGGATTAAGTCAAACTGTATTAAGGAAAAAAACAAACCTCCACGATGCTGTGAAAATGCAGAGTATTTAATCCAGGGTTGGTGTATATATAAGAACAAACAGATTGCCTAAACTATAAAGAGATTTGCAAAAACAGTGTCCCAGGGAGGATTTTTACCAGACTGTCATATTTGTCTTGTAAGTAATATAAGTCTTGTGTTTTCTCTTTCACACTTTTCCTAAATTGGAGATTTTCAATGTTATTAATCTAGAAACTGTTACTATAAGACTGAATTGCAGAAGTGGGCAAAAGCATTGCACCATACATTGCATTGAACACTACTGAAGTTGAAACAAGCTTTGAAGTACACGTGGAAGTACAGCAAACAGATTATGCGGAAAGAAGCCCATCAGCCTTGCCCAAATCTTCTGCAGCTCTACACATCAGTTTTAGGATTTGGTGCTTCTTTTAGTCTCATTATTATAGTGTACATATATTCATGAGTAATTTTGGAATAGGTGGTTTTCCCTTTGAAATACTGATTGAGTTTTCAGTCTCTCTCCTGATAAATTCAACTTCTATGCTCTATAAACTCCAACAGGTTTCTTCTTCTTGTTTTGAGTGTACTTGTGCACAGCTTTATGCATTTGATTGCCTGAGTTTTTGAGCTACACTAAAAAATTTTAGAAATAGAGAGGGGCCAATTGTAATAAATTTTCCCTTTGAAGAAGGATGCAGCTTAAGCACTCTTATTGCATGTCTTGTGCGGGGGGCCGAGCCCACTGCCCGGGGGAAGCGGCAGAGAGTCAGTGCTCCAGAAGCTCCAAGTGCTTCAGGTATTTCTGCACCCAACGAGCCGTGGGGTCCACACACACCTCCCTCCCGTTCTTGGTGACCAGGCTGTTGGGGAAACAAATCAGTGTTGAGGCACTCAGCCAGGGCATCAGGGTGCCTGCATTAGGTCTCGCTGGTAGCACCCTGGTTGTCCCTGCCCTTCCCCATCCAGGACAACCTTAGACACCCTTGGGGTGCTGCCCTGGCTGGTGCACCCTGCACCCAGGCAATGTTTGGTACTTACACCACGGCTTGCGTTACGCAGCTGCTGCTGGTCCTGTAGGCAGAGCGGATTATCCAGGGTGGAATGGGGCGTGAAATGTAGGCGAGGCAGCAGGAGATGGGTATGCTTTCTGTGGGGGCAGAGAGATGGGCCCAGTGAGACCCCACACTGTGGCAGAGGCTCTGCCTGTGGCTCCCAGGGGATTTGCCATCATCACCCATGCTGAGTGCTCTGGGATCATCCCCTGGAAAGCTCTGTCTCTGAGGCTTAGTCCCTGCACAGGTGATGACCATCTGCTCCCAGCCTTCTCCATGGGCATGAGGGTCTAATCAGTGGGAATGGGGCTCTCTCCTGGGGAAGGAAAGCCTACCGTCCTTCTGGAAAAGTGCAGCATTCCTGGAGACTCTGACATCAGCCTCAGCCAGGGAGCAGATGGCCACAAGGAGCAGAACAGCCAGGACCCTCATGATGCTGGGAGGACTGAGGCAGGCACAAGTGAGGCTGGAGCTGGGGTGTCTGTAAGGCTCTCCCCTGCACTGTAGCCCCTGCTACCTCCTTTTATACCACCACCACTGGGTGGGCACAGGGTTTCAAGAAAGAAAATGAGTGTATCATACCAGGAAAATTATGTAAAGAAACTGCAGAAAGGGAAGTGCCAGCCACAGGGCTGCGATTTTCAGATTCAAGAGAGAACAAGTCTTACGAGGAGCAGCTGAAGGCGCTGGGTTTATTTGACAGTAGAAGAGGAGACCCCCTGAGGGGAACCTTACTGCTCTCTGCAACTTCTTGAAGGGAGGGCTGTAGTGAGGTGGAGGTTCTCTCTTTGTTCAGGTAACAAGTGACAAGGATGAGGTGAAATGGCTTCACATTGAACCAGGGCATGTTATGAAAACGTTCTTCTCTGAAAGGGTTGTCAAGCACTGGAACAGGCTGCCCAGGGAAGTGGTGGAGTAACCATCCCTAAAGACATTTAAAAGACATGTGATGCTTAGGGACATAGCTTAGTGGTGACTTTGTAACCTGGATTAATGGTTGGACTTGATGTTCTTAAAGGTCTTTTCCAATGTAAATGATCCTATAGTTTCTGTGAACTTCTTGGTGCTGCAGGGGCTGAGGGAACACAAGCAGGGCTGGAGCTGGGGTGGCTGCAGGGTTTTCCTCTACACAATGCTCAGTCCCTGCTGCTTCTTCCCTCCTATTCACCCAGAGTTTCAAGGAGAGAAAATGAGTGCATCATGATAGCAAAATTATGCCAGGATTTCCCAGTTTAGCTAGAAACCCCAGAAGGGGAAGCGCTGGCCACAGATCTGCAACTTTCAGATTCCATGTGAGTGTTTGGTGGGAATGGCCAGAGCCCAAGTCCCCGTGAGGTGAGCCCTGCTATTGCTGCAATGACCTGATGGCTGAGAGCCAGGCTGGGACATGAAATTTGCTGACCAGAGTTCTGAGGAAAAGCAGAACAAGGCCAGACACAGGAAAGGAAGGAGGAAGCAGCAAGTTTTGTAGCTTGCTTTCTGAGTGTGCACTGTTGGGGTCTTTAGGAATTGATTGTATCCTACCTTTGTCAAGCAAGAATTTTGCTGTAGTGGTGTGTCTGAGGTACCCCCCAGCTGGCAGGTGCAGGCCCTGGGGAGCCTGGTTACCCCTTGCCCAGCACTGCTCGTGGGCTTCCTGGTTAGTGAGAACCACTAGCCACAGGGACCATTGATAAAATCATGTACCCTCTCAAAATACCTAATTTCTGCAAAAATGAACCTCTTTGGGTAAATGAGGGTCGAGTGGGTGGTTTGCAGCTGGCTACCAGAGAGTCCCTGCTGGGTTGTTGGCCTGTGCACTGCCAGGGGCATGAAAACCCCTAACCTCACTTTCTGTGCCAACTGTGTCAGCTCCTGCTGGTTTTCAGGGAAAAGTTGTAAAATCCCTCTTCATTGGTCCTTGTCTGGCTCAGCTTTCTGGCCTGGTACTGCAGGAGGGGAAAAGAGAGTGTGTGCCAGGGACTGTTGGAGGTGTGGGGCTGGGGGCCATGGAGTGTCATCTCTGGGAACTCTCCAATCCATTCTGGTGGACACTGAGCCTGTCCTGCTGGCACAGTGACCTTGCTCACTGGCACAGCCTGAACAGTGCCTGGAGGTGCACCAGTGTCTCCCATAGAATGTGCTGGGGTACCAGTGGGGTTAATACCAGAAACTGGATGAGGGAGAGACCAGAGCACCTTCCACAGTTCAGGGGCCTCTGCTTGCACAGCTGGGTACCAGCTAAAATCTGCTCTGGCAGGTGCTCAGGGGGATGTTCTGCACTCACCTTCCTCCTTGGGGACCTGATGCTTCATTTCTGTGGGGGAGAGGTGCACAGGAGTATCCCACCTGCTGCTTTGACAGCACCCACTCCCAGCTCTCCACATGGACTTGGGTGTCCCATCAAAGGGGATGGGGCTGTCTTCTGGGGAGGGAGATCATACCTGGCTTCTGGGAGGACTCAGCAATGCTGGGATCACATAGATGGGCCTCAGATGGGGAAATGGTAAGAAGATAAGAGCATCATAATGGGGAAGTGGAGAGAAAATGAGTGTGTTGTAACAAGGACATTGTCATGAACACCCAGATTTGCTGAGCTGGTGAAGGCAAGGAAGCCACAGAAGGGGAAGCACCAGCCACCATGTTGTGACTTTCAGATTCCATTTGGTCCCTGGCATGGACTGGCCAGACCCTAAACCTGTCAAGAGCCAGGCTGGTACATGCAGCTCCATAACAAGAGCCCCAGGGAAAATCAAGGCAAGACTGGCAAAAGGGGAAAACAAAGGAGAAAGTAGCAATTTTATCTGTCACTATGCTCCTTGATTAAGAGTCCCTCTCCAGCCCTCTTGCAGGGGCTCTCTAGGCACTGGAAGCTGCTCTAAGGTCCCCTGAAAGCCTTTTCTTCTCCAGGCTGGACAAACTGAACTCACTCAGCAGTGAAAAAAATATTTGAGTACCTTAACCCTGTGGAATCCTACTGGCTCTGCTTGTGCCTGCAGGGGTTTTTTATATTTTGGATTAGGTATTAATAGTTTGAAGGCTTTTTGGCCCTGTGCAGATCCAGGTTCATTCTTGACAAACTCTCCTGGGTTAATGTTAGGAATTGATAGCACAGGAGCTTTACAAATCAAGATAGTTTTGGAGATACCTGGCTGTCTTTACTTGGTGATACAAATCATTCTCTGTGCCTGGCATCCATCTCTCACTATGGTTTTGTGAGCAAAATAACCTATTGCTTATTTTAATTTCTTTTAGGAATAAGAGAGAAAACATCTTTGTGAATCTTATACATTGATTTTTTGGAGATATGTACCTCTTTGTACTGTAATTCACCTTAAATTAAAGATAATTTGTTCAGATGTGCTTTAAGTTTTCCAGGACAAGACAGTTAGAGTTACGTAGCTGGACTAATTGAGCTGAGCTCTCTCATTGAAAATACAATCCTGTTTGTCAAGAGATTAAGCCTGTTCTTTCACTGGATGCTGTTCTGTAAATCTCAGACCAAGGTCAGGATCATCTTTTAGACATAAATTTTGACTACTTCAGCAGGGCTAAAAGGACCTGCATTGTTGTGATATTCCCTTGAGGCATCTGCAATAGCTCACTGGGGTGGAAAGTCACAGTTGTCTTAAAAGCACTTTACACACTCATCCCTCAGTGGCCCAGAGGCTGACAGCTGTACCTGAGACATTGCTGTAAACCTGCCTTCTCTGGGAAAACTCTGTCTTCAGCTCACAGAAGAGCAGGCTGCGTCACAGCTTCTGTCTCCATGATTCTCTGCATGGGTCACTCTCACTTTCCTGTCCAAGCAAACCCAGAGAATGTGTCCTTTTCCAGCATCAGAAGTTTTATGTCTGCTTTGTTCCAAGTTTGAATTGTAGGAAAACTACTCTGTTGTAGTGTGAATGAGCCTTTTTTTTTGCATTTAAATTAATCTATGTAACTTTTTGTGAAACAGCTTTTTATTTTCCTTGGATTTAATTCTGTGCATTCAAACAGAAAGTTAAACAATGTCAGACTGCAGAAAATATGAATTACATAACATGCCAAAAAGATGAACTGGGGAAATAACTTGTTTTTACATTCCCTTCTTACCTATGTCTTTAGTGTGAATTACTGGAACATCAAAGAGAACTAACCAGTTTGGAATTTGTTTTAAAATATGTATTCTCATAAAGTGGGTTATTTCCTCTATGCACTTAATTTTAGTGGAAGAAAAAAAGCAAGTGTTGGTATAATGTTATGCAGACATCCCTCCAGAGTAGTTAATTTTCAGAAGTTATAACAGCTTACTATTGCCCTTTTCCTCCTGAAATTACTTCCTCAGCTAAATTGTTTAAGGCTGATGCTGAAGATAAGTGTATGAAAACCAACTTATCAATTCTGCCCTTTCAGCAATTATCTTTACAGATTATTAAAGTGAACCACGACTTGGTTTGAGAAGAAACAAAGAACTCACTGACATTCTTGGCTCTTTGTTTTAGTGCTTCTGACTGCAGCTCTAGATAGCTTTTTTTTTGTTTTTTTTTTTAAGTGTGCAGGGAATTTTTTAGAAGATTTTTTAGGTGGAATCTTAACTTGTTTCAATGAGATGGTGTTTAGGTACTGAATATGTTCAAGATTTGAAATTGAGAGATCTTTTCTCAGGAACTCAGAATTCCAGAAACCATCTTTGATTCATAATTCTGGTACTAATGTTTTATAATCCATGGACTACACTGTTGTGAGACTCCTTACATTTTTAATAGTAAGTGTATAGGTATAATTTTTGAATAGAATTTGGGCTGTAGATTATTAGTATAAAATAAACAATGAATGTAAAATGAACAAATGAACTGCTAACAGGTATCTCACCTGCTTGTAAAGTGCTGCTCCTCTGAGATGAAGCCCATCAGTGGAACTCATGGTTGGGTCTAGTTCAAAACAGAAAAAGTGCAAGAGGCATTCAGTGGAACAGAACATGGAATTACAAAAAGTATTCTGAAGAATGCCATGCGCCATCCCCTTGAAAACCATATACTTAAGTGTTGTATTTTTCTCTCATCGTCCTATTATAGATAACAGATTGTAACTCCATTCCTCCTGAATCCTTTATGGAATGTGACAGTGCACTATAGAAACAAACCTGACAGATGTGCTCCTTTAGATCAGTTTTCTATCAGAGCAACTGTGTCCTTTTCATCAGGAATTTAGTTAGGGGCTCCTTCCAAGTATGATTGCAGTTTCACTTGATCCCCATTTCTCCTCAAAAATGTAGGACAGCAGTGCCAATGGCTTCTGCAGTGCTGATTTTCACGGTGAGCTGTGACAGTAGGAGGTTTTCAGCAAGTACAGCTGCGTGTCCTGCTGCCATGAATAATTTCTGCCTCTTGCTTCTCTGCCTTGCTTACTTTCTTCTTCTTCCTCTTGTAGCTATATACTGTATTCAGTTGTAGCTCAGTGTCTTTTTTTAAATCTGTTGAGACATACAGAAGCATCTCTATTTTCTGGCATGTTTGTTATCAGAACTCGTGAAGAGAAGCAGCAATATTTTTTCAG